GCCACTGCTCGACTGCCCAGGAAAAAGTGTGAAGAGGTGAAAAAAGTGTAAAGAGGTGAAAAAGGGTTCACAATGAAGTTTCAAACAAAAACACACACCATCGCACTGCTCCAATATCTCCTCAGCCGTTGTGTCGTAGTGAGCCAAGGGGTTGCTGGGATTGCGATACTGGTCGAGGATGTGTGAGTTGGGAATCTCACTCTGTAGACGCCACGCCGTGCGAATGTGAGACTCCGGTGAATCGAAGGCTGCAGATGTGGGAGTGCGCACAATCTCTGCCCCAAGAGCTCTCAGCACGTCCACCTGCAGCACAAATAAGGATCAGTAACAATACGGGCTTGTCAAAATAAAACATCTGCAATGACTTACCTTCTCCGTGCTCATCTTTTCAGGCATAACAATAATGCAGTGGTAGCCTTTGACAGCAGCTATAAGAGCAAGGCCGATACCTGCAGAAAGATTCAGGAGATTTGATTCAACCAACACTTTCATTGCGCAGGTGATGTTACTCTGATCTACTTAACAGGAAGTACCTGTGTTCCCAGAGGTAGGCTCGATGATGGTGTCTCCTGGTTTGAGTATCCCTGCTGTCTCTGCGTCCTCCACCATCCGCAGGGCGATTCTGTCCTTAATGCTGCCTCCTGCGTTGAAGAACTCACACTTGCCCACTTAACACAGCAAGCCAAAACAAARCACTGCATCAGCAAACTTCTTTTTCTATTATATAAAACATGCACTGAAGGTTCACGTAAATCACTCAGGTCARTCTGGGTTCAAATATGTGTCCCAAATACGGACGTTTATTTTAGTAATGTAGCAATTAAGGCTATATGGTTTCAGTGAGATGTTGTTTATGGTTTCGTTTGTTCGTACATCATTTTGGGTCAGGAGCAGTGAAGCATCGCATGCATGGGCATCTAATTGGTCCACAGTGCTTCGCTTCTGTCAAAGCATCATTGTAGATGGGGATGGGTAAGAGAGAATGGTCATATTGTTCTGCTTGTTTTTTTTTTATTCATTTACTTTTTTCCTGTTGTGCTTTCCCTGAGTGGTCCAGCATACACGTTGCTGACGCACTCTGCAACAAATGTTTGGGCTGCAGAGGGAACCAGAGGATCCTGCTTAAAATTCCATTTTAATTCTATCCTTTTGTTGRTTACATAACTGTTGACGTTGACTGTGGAGACAAAGTGTCTGTAGAGAATCGTAGGATAAAGAAACTGGCACTCTGGTGTCCTAAAACAAAACCTAAGGGTTAAGTGAAGCTTGAGGACTGAGCATTTGGGTAACAGGAATAAGATTTGCACACATTATTTCAAAGTTTTGTCTTTTTCTTAGTGGATGTTTAATTTTTTTCTTCTTTTCCAGCTTTCTTTGTGCTCTAAATTTGCAAGTATTGTTAAGCCAAACGGACGGGCTTGTTTGTTTTTATTCTACGACTATTCCCCCACCAGAAGGGGCGCTCGCCTGGCAGCTCTGCATAATAAAATACTAATTTCTGTAAATAAAAGGCTGAAACACAGAGAAGTTTCCATAAATGAGCTGTATGATGACTGTCGCTCTGTGACCAAAGGCTTTGCAGAGGTAATTCCTGTGGTTTTTTGGCCAAATGAGTCTCTTTTACTGAATACATGTCAGCTACTGCCTCCATGTTTCATCTCCATTTTTCTCAATAAAAAGCAAAATAAGATAAATTTAATTCTATTATTGTGTTGTACAGTTGTTGTTCTGTGAGCAGAAAGTTTTTTTCCCTCCTGACTTTTGACAAAATCTGTGCTTTTTTCTGTCAGTTCTTGTCCTCAGAGTTTTCCTTTCAGCGAGGGGTGGGCGGCACTACGACTTTGATATCGATCTGATACCAAATAAATACTTGGCAAATATATTTGATACTGAAGTCAACATCAATGCTTTTTACTTGTAATGGGATGTTCATTGAATAACTATGATACYGCAGACACCCCTTCTGGTGGTGAAACAGTTTGTTGTAGGGATACAGTAAGTTGGCACGACCTGTCATGGATTATGAACAAACAAGCCTTTTTTTGTTTCTGCCTTAAACTAATTTTCTTTTTTTGTTATCTGAAACAGAAAATGAAACTCCAATCATTTTAAAAATTTGGTTTATCCCTTTTTGGCACTGAGAACGAGAAACGCTTTATATTTTAATTTTAATTTCAGTATTTCAAAACAAAAATCAAATATCCAATCATTTCTTGTTTTTAATACCTGTTTCGAAAATGAAAATCCAATGACCAAAAGATAAACTGACCGAGGAGACATGGGGGGATTTGTTTTCTTTTGCATTCCCACGCAATACCATTGCGTTACCTCGCAATATCTTTGCGTTACCTCGCAATATCTTTGCGTTACCTCGCAATATCTTTGCGTTACCTCGCAATATCTTTGCGTTACCTCGCAATACTTTTGCTTTGCCTTGCAAAATTGTTTTGCGTTCCCACGCAAAATATTGTTTTGTATGTGAACTGAATTAAATCAGACTTTTATTTTGAAATATCCGGTTACCAAAACAGGATGTGTCAAGTTCGTGAAATTGACGTTGATGTTKGCGGCTGYACTGTGTTAAAATATCGGCATATGACATACTTCCATGSGTGGYTGTGTGAYATATTCATTCTGAAGCTAAATTAAAGCAGTAGGCTAACTCGCTAATGGTGAACATGTGAGTTTGTTAATAAACATCAGGCACAACTGTGATAAATGACTTTTGCGAGGGAATGCAAAAGGTATTGCGAGGTAACACAATAATATTGCGTGGGAACGCAAAAGAAAATAAATCTCCCATGTCCCCTCGCGGGCTCCGTACCAAACAAACTGATCATTTCATTTAGTTACAAAGATTTATTGGAAATTATACAATTTTTCTCTCTTTAAAAAAAGAAGCTAGAGAGGTTTATTTGCATTGATTTATGATTGAGAGCAAAGAAGAATACACTGATGGGAAGTTTTGCATCCAGAAATCTTCCTGGCTCTGCACCATGAAGTTATGCAGCCGAGGAAATCCTCCACCAAATACCCCGAATGTTTTCAGGTTTCACGTGGCATTTGATTTGGGGGCAGTGTTTCTCTCGTTCGGCTCAAAGAACAACGAGTCCTTCATGTTCACCTATCCATGCACGGAGCCCCCTGACCCCTCAGACTAAAGCACAGCAGTCACTCAGGGGTCAACGAGAGGTCATGAGCTACGTGATACTCTCTTCAAACAGAAGTAAAAACAGATKAAGTCAAGTCAACAACCTAAAAACAGCATCAGTTTTACTTCAGTCAGCCTAGAGAACAACTATACCCTCTGACTGGTGGACGTTTTTTTATTCCTGCTCTAAACTTCTAAATACTTCCATGAAACGGCATGCCAGGTGGGTGATGTGCATTCCTTTAGGGGGGATTTTATGAAGATTGTTTTATTTTTATTTTTTGGCTGCAGCAGCTATCTTTGATAAAAGTTTCCAGAACTGTTTTATTGATTTTCAAAATACATTAATATTTGTTTTTACAATGTAGTGTTGTTTAAATGCTTTTTTCTGAATTGTCTATAGGCTCCATCAAATCACCAGAGTTGTACTTTGCATCAATAAATATTACTATAAACACAGACTTTGTAATCTGTTTTTGTACAAACTCTCTGTCTGTGGTATTTTATTACTATTTTTTTTTTTTTCAGATTTGGCCAACTTTTTACATATTTATTAGCATTTTATCAAACCTTTGGAATTATTATGCAGTTGAAACCTGATGATTTTTTTTGTACTGATGTTTGTACTCACAGATTTCACACTTTAGCCCAAACTCCTTTGGGATTCTGTTCAGTCGAACCAAAGGTGTGTATCCAACATGGCTGAGGATGTTGGGGAGGATCGCTGGTTGTTTAATGCTGCGATGCATAAAAGGGGGAGAAATCATCACCACATAATAATAATAATTATTATTATCTGAAGTCTTATTTTCAAGTATTTTTGCAGTAAAAGGACAACATAAAACATAGAAAGGAGCTGAAATTGTCAAGTACTGATTAATGCACTTTAGCAGCTTTATACAAGTTCATTTAGTTTGGACTGAAAAGTCTGGCAACCACAGCTGCTGGTTAATGACTGTGAGTGTGAAGTTGAAAATGCACCATTGTCATGTGATTTATTGCTGCACTGTTTGTTTCACATTGACCTCATGGAGAGAGAGGGTTGATCAACTATGAGGGAGATATGAGGCAACAATCATGTTGATTTGGTATAATTGATCTTCTATAGAAGAGATATAAGAAAACAACATGTTGAGTTGGTGTGGTTGTTGCTCAGCTRTAAGGGTGGAGACCACACCACATCTCACTGTGGTTGTTGCTCAGGTATTATATTTTTCATCCATGAGAAATGAAGCAATATTTCAGTTTAGATCAGTGGTTGCCAAACATTTTATCTTCTGATCCACAAAATATTCATGGAAAAAACTTGTGACTCCAAATATTACTGGTCTGAGTACACAGACTTTGTTAATAACCCTAAAAACACAGGCCTTTTGACAATCTAAACAGCTTGTACACAAATATAAATACTTGTTTATACTTTTTTTGTGTTTTTGTAATAGTTATAGGGAAAATATTACATCAGCAATTATTTTATTACCCTTAAAATTGATTTCTGGAGATTATCCAAGGTGCTTCATGACCCATAATTGGGTCCCAAGCCCAACTTTGGGAACCAAAGTGCACTGGTTCC